TACACTGTATATAATTTTTTCCCCCGTTATAAACTGCCTTGAGTAAAACAAGCAGAATATAATGACTAAACCAGCACTTAATAAAACAGGAGATGACCTGACTCATCTCTTGCTGGTGGGTACTTCCTCTCAAAGAACCATCTCAAGAGACATACAGAGTGCCATGGGCCATAATCGCTTCTCTGGTTTCTTGTTCTGTCTCTGACTTGCTCTCAAGTTCCTTTGGGGTTTCAGGCCCCATGGAACTGGCTGAGAGAACAGTCTTTAGAGTGTTTTCTGTCTGTTTTTTGAATCCAAGCTTAAGAAAAAAAAACAAAAAAGAAGATGGACTGTGTCTAACCTCAGTCTCCAAGAAGCGTCTCAAGGCTCTCTTCTTCTTGATGCTCTTCCTCCTCAGTGATATGGCAACACTCAGACCCACAATGATCACCACAAACAATCCCCCAATAACCCCAGCTGCAATGAGGGGAGTCCTGAGGGAAACACATGGGAGAAAACAAACATTAGCCATAATAAGCAATAACAATAAACTACTAGGTAATTGGTCCCATATCACACAAACTAGTGCTTCTCAACTGGTTCTGCTTCATGACCAAGACATGTTAATATCAGACTTCCTTAAAATTAAACGCATAAATAAATAAAAACAATTTATTTATTTAATTATTTACACTATCGGTCAAAAGTATGGAATACATAATATTGTCTCTTATGCTCACCAAGGCATAATATCCAGTAAAAACAGCAATATAGTGAAATATTATTGCAATTTAAAAGAACGGTTTCTATTTTAATCTATTCTAAAATGTTATTCGTGTGATGGCAAAGCTGAATTTTCAGCAGCCATTACTCCAGTCTTCAGTGTCACATGATCCTTCAGAAATCATTCTAATTATTCTAATAAATATATTCAAATAGAAAAAAGTTATTTTAAATTTTAATGATATTTCACAATATTACCATTTTACAGTATTTTTGATCAAATAAATGCAGCCTTGGTGAGCATAAGTGATTTATAAAAAAAAAAATCCAAACTTTTGACCTGTGGTATATTTATTTATTATTTATTTATTAATTTACTAAATTGAACACTTTCATAAAAACTCAACAGACTTATCTTTATAGTTAGATATAGTATAGAGAGCCACTGACAAATACTATAGTAGAACAAAAGCGCAGAACAGATCAGTAGAGAAAGTCATTAGAGAAGGGGGCTGAGAATTGCCAATATCCCATAAATGAGCAGGAACCTGAACAAAGCCTTACTCTCACACAGAAAGGAGATATTTGGTTGGATGTATCTGCAAAAAGCCTTTCCAACTGCTGTCATCTTGCATCAGCCTTCTCTGGGCTGTACTGAAAGTGTTCCCCTTAGCATTAATGATAGGCCTAATTCAGTTAGCATAGAAGACGGCAGCACTAAATCAGCACAGACAGCAAACAATACACAGCTCATACTGTCCTATTACAGATCCAACTCTTCACACTGCCAATCTTACTATCTAATTGTCTCTGCACCTCTTCATCCTTATTCCTAACATCACATGGATATAAAGTAGAGCTGCCATCGGGAGGGCGGAACAAAAAAATTGTCCCAGGCCCAAGTGTAAAGTCTTTATTTTTTTAGTTTTTCGATGGAAATAAATAAAGATCACAGAATGTGCTCATGTTCTAACTGTGCTATTTTATATTTATTGGTCTAGATAAACATGCATCAGATGGATATCTCTGGCATTTTACATCTCAAAGTTAGATCCAGCATTGCATTTTTTAAAATAGCATATTAAATGCAAAATGCAAAACAACTACATTTTATTGCAGCCATGACATTAGTCAGAGTTTAGTGCCTTAAAACAAGGTGTTTGAGTTTAGTCTTCCTTCCTGTGTAAATTTGGAACTATAAGTTTGTGGAATGGAAATTAAATCCCACTCAACAAGACGAGGACAGTGAAGCATTGCCCAGGCATGACGAGCGATAGACTGCTAGATTATCTCTGGGCGAGATGAGAATCTCTCCAGTTAATTCGATATTGATCTGCAGTCACAATACAAAGCTTATGAGCCACGGAGACCATAGTCGAGTGCATACCATCACCCTCCGAAGCCTGTGTGAGTGTATAGGTCCCACATGCGTGAGGGAGCTTCTCTCGCACTGACAATGAGCAGGCAATTATGTTGATGCTGCATTGCTGTCAGCACGTAGTGTGGCACTGCCGTATATATTGCAGGGGAAGGGGGACAGGATGTCTGACATCTTGTTTTATGTAACCTGCCATGTCTTTTCCAAATGTGCAAGAGAGAGTCTGGAGAGAAACATTTAGAACACGCATTACAGAGAGCTTAAACTGGGATTTTTGAAGGTCTGGTGGTGATCCTGATGCCCTAGACAAGATAAGACATAACCCACTCATCCCATATCATGTGGAAACCCTTTTTCAAATATTAGCTAGAAGAAAAAAGAGAGTACATATGTAATTTAAAAATGTAACAAACAATATATACTTTATAATTTTATATATATAAAAAAATTTAATATATGAAATAATGTATACATTTTAAATACACTTATAATGTATGGTTATGCAAATATCATTAAATGGTCATTCATGCTTTTCATTGTAAAAACATCATCTTTATCTGACTCTACAGGCTGTTGTGAATGTTGGCTATCACTCGCCTCTCACCTCATCCACACTAGAGATGTTCACCTCTCTCCTGAGCTTGTTTGGTCTCCAAGGAAAGCACTAGTGTTTTATCAGGATTACTCCCTGCAGCCTTTACTGGTAGTCTGTCCAAACAACCAGCATACACTCTTGTTCTATAAAACCCTATTAGGACGGGACAGAACTATGTGTGTGTGTAAGCAAACAGTCTTGATATAAAGCATAGTTCACATTACAGCTCATTCTGGCAAAAAATCATTAGAAGTGCTTAATGAAGAACCTCTAAACAAGACTTCATATGCCAGGGAACATAAAACTGTGTGCCCTGTCTCCAAAAAAATCATCTAAAAAGATCCAGTCAGATTGAAGCTTGTGAGAAGCTTTTGCCCTAGTTGATTTCAATATGCATGAAGCAATCTGTGAACTGTTCATGGTTGTGACGTCTAAGGCTGAGACAAATGATTTCTAGCTTCAGCTTCCCTGCCCTGCCAGGACTGTGGGTAACATAATGGCAGATCTGAAACAGCAAACACATTTGCTCTGAGCAGTTAATGGTATTTTGTTCCAGCTCTCCCATGAGAGCAAAAGAAAGTGATATCAATTTATCAAATATGCCATGAAGCAAATGTGTGTGCGCGCACACACTCACAGACCTCACAGCAGCACATTAATCACAGAACTGTGGCCTGGTCATTATATAACTTTCCTTTTCCCCATCTTGCATAAATATTAAATGCTCAAACTTTTCAATGTAGTCTTAGACATCGGTTTGTGTACAAAAGCCATGCAACTGAATCACCAATATGACATAACTGTGTATTTGTGTGTAAGTGCACGTGTGTGTGTAGAACTGTGTGGTGTCAAGGATCTCCAGACACAGTGATTTTCTATGGATGCCAGTGTGGCTAGAATCAAGTACTGGACATTGTGCAGAACACCAAAATAGATGCCATGAATAAATGATAGCTTAAGGGAGGCCGAGCGAGACAGAAAACAAAGATGAGAGAGAAACTTGTGCTAGAATTCTGACCTTGCAAACCTGATGACAGTGGAAGTCGCTGTGCCTTGGAGAATGTATGTGTAGTATGTGTGTGTGTGTGTGTGTGTGTGTGTATGTGAAAGTAGTGCTGCTACAAGACATTGTTTCTGGTCTAGTTTAGACTTAAGTAAAATAAAAATGATTTTATATTATTTATATATGGTGTTGGAGCCGCAGGTGACCCTAGTTTGAGTCCCGACTCAAGGTCCTTTCTCGGTCCTGACCCTCTCTACGCTCCTATTGTTTTCTGTCTGTTCTCTTATTGTCCTGTCCACTAAAGGTGAAAAACACCCAAATATATATAAAAATGTGTGTACCTGTCCATCATGCCAATGCAGTCTTGCAGACGAGGTCCTGTGCATCTGAAACAATAAAGAATACGAATGAACATAAACAGAATATAAGTAAACATAAAAATACAGCCCCCCCCCCCACACACACACTTACTTAGCTATCTAAATGGGGTCATTCCACAGACTTCTATTGTCTTTATATACAGCTAGTTATAAATTCTATAACTTAACTCTAACAGAAAAACTGCTGTATTTCTTACAATAAAAAAAATTGCAGATTTTTTTTTTACTTTTTAAAAAATTTACTTTTTATACCGTTTGTACAAATGAGGATGTCCCGAAAAGGAGGTTTTGTCAGATTTAGCTCACTTCTAGGTACAAATTTGTCCCGAACATAAGGTTCAGTACATACTGTATATACACAAAAACACATATATAGATAGATGTAAATATATATGTATAAAGTATCATCACTTTTCTGATGCTCAGCCATGAATCACTGTATCAAGGTCTTAAACTAAGAATCAATTCATTGAAAAAGACAATTTGAAAATATTCTTTGAAACAAATCATAAAGCATCTAACAGAAACATTCTTGCTATTTAAGTTTAAATTAGAGATGCTGTTTACATCAAAGTGCTCCATCTAAATGCTCTTACTCACAAGATGAGTAAATATTGTCAATCTAATCTAATGACTATCTTTAGGCAACTTAATGATCAAATAAAAAACACATTAAAATCCTCTCAATGCTGCTTAATTTTATATAGCCACAATTCATCACAAATCTATCAGTGCTAGACCTATTTTAATAACACTGCCTTCTTCTGTCTTTTCCTTGACGTCTGAGTTCCTGCCCTTCCAACCTGATGCTCACAGCTTTGTCGGTTTGTCAGCTCGCTGCTAACGTTTCAAAGCTCAACATCACTAATCGTTCCTGGCTGACAGAGATCTCAGATACGACAGCCAGCAGTTGAGGGCTTTCATGTGACACAGGAGGAAGAAAAGTGAATCCATGACTCAGTGTGAAGACTCCTTGAGCAGATAATGTTTTTTTTCTGCAGGAAATCTGAGCCATCTCTCATGTAACCCCATGGGGCTGAGGTTAAGTTGCAGGTGCCCAGCCGGATAAATTCGGAGAGCTTGATGGTTATCATTTAGACTAAAGTTAGATGGCAGAGACGCAGCAAGGGCAAACTCCTTCCTGTAAATTAATGATGCTTTATGCACAGCCAGCTCCGAGGACACAAGGGCTCTAAAAAGGGTCAGTGCGCTGACAAATAGGCTATCCGAACTTCCTGAGGGTAGAACTGACGTTGCAAACAAGCACAGGAAGTAGTTGGACCTCTACAGATATATCCCCCCCCCCACACACAAATTGCAAACATTTAACAAACACGTTCATACCCCTGGGTACAGTTGACATGGCAGGGGTGACACTCATTGTTGGCCTCAGCATATTTGAAGATGAAGCTGTTTGCTCCCTGTAGGCCATCAGGGCATTTCTCCACACAGTTGGGTCCGTCTTTAAAGTGAAGACATTTAACACAGTGATCAGGACCCTGCAAGAGAGAGAGAGAAAGAGGAGAAAAGAGACACATAAAATACCAGCAACTATGGATAATAACCATCCCTCACCACACACACAATGACCATAACAATCAGTCGGCGCAGGATTTATAGCAGTAATATGGAGAGAGGAGGCCGAAGAGGGGGAATTGTTAGCTTGGATATCAATATGAGCACCCTTAGAGTCATCCGAGCACCTCATCAAACAGAAAGACAAATAATGCTTCCCGGACAATAGAAAGATATACTCTGTACTGTTCTATTCAGGGTGGAAAATGCAATTGGCGCCCACGTAACCTTGAGGAACATCTGTATGTGAGTGTATCTGTCTGTACTCATTGAGACCGAGGTTGATATGTGTTTCTTTATGAGTGAATCTCTTGTGAGAGATGAATAAACGCCTTGCAGCAATTACAGCTGCTCTTCATTTCATGCTGTAAACCGCCTCTGATGCAATAAAGGCGCAGACGGCACCCAGACATGGACGTGGGAGCCAGGCAGCATGCAACAGACGCCGCTTCAGGTCCACCAACCTACAGTTTCCCTATCAGAATTAAAAGGATACACTATTAGATTATAGATTAGATTTTTCTTTTTTAAAGAAATGGATAGTTACATTCTGTAAAGATGCATTAAAGTGACAGTGAAGACATTTATAATGTTACAAAAGATTTATATTTAAAATAAATAAATGCTACTCTTTTGAACTTTTTATTCAAAGATTCCTTAATGCGTCATGGTCGTTCTGACAGCTTTGCCAGGAATAAATTACATTTTAGAATATATTAAAATAGAAAACAGTTTTAAATTGTAATAATATTATTATTGTTTTATCAAATAAACACTTTAACTGAAATAAATAAAAAAATAAAATAGATTTATAATAAATAATATAATAAATTATATTATACTTTTTAAAATATAAAAAAGTAAACATTTTATTTCAGCTGGTTGCCAAGGCATCATTTCCCATTTTGATTTAGTTTACCTTACTAAAATAACTAAAAGTAAATAAAATAACATTGATAAATTAAAATGTAGACATATAAAGACACATAAAACACAACAAAATTACTAACTTTAACTACAATAATAAAAAATAAAAAAAATAAAACAACTATAATATTATAAAAATGATACTAAAATAATACTGATCCTGAACAACATTTTCACTGAATTGACAATAAAAAGACATTTTATAATCATCTTCTTTTGAAAAGAAAACTCATACATGTTTAGAACAACATGAGAATGAAGACAGAAATGTTGTTTTTGGGTGAACTATCCTCATCCTTTCTCATCCACCCCTCTACTATTGCTATTAAGTGGCTAAAAACAAAATAAATGAATAAACATTCAAACACAACTAGGGCAAATCTCTGAAGACTAGCATGCTGCTCTGTTCAGCATTGCATTATTCATTTTAGATATTAATAAATCTATTGCATTTATTCTACCTTCAAGTCTTTTCAAAATGATTGTACTTATGAGAATAGCATGCATGAACGTCACCAGAATGTTATAATTACCAGTGGGGAAACTCTGGATATTCACTGAGTTTGGGGGCATGTTAATAAAAGAATCCTGGTGGAAGCAAAATAGTAGTGGTCGTAATTAAGTTTTAATTGCGAAAGTTGACTGCACAATTTGGTTTGCATGCACTGTGCTTTGCTATAAAGTTAGCCAGAATATACTACTCATTTAGCTGGTTTATGAGATGACAGGCTTGTCAACAGAACTACATTTCCCATCATTCTCTTTGGGAGCACAAGAAGAAAAAACACATAACGCATTAATCAGACACCTAATGTGCATCATTTTGTTATATTAGCTCTGAAAAAGCTTACTGTCCTTCTTGATAAGTAAAAATGAGGAAAGAAATACAATGGCTCAGCGTGTCAATTTTATTCCAACATTGAGAGTGCTGAAATCAGGAGTAGTGTGGCACATAGATAAAGGTGGATGTAAAATTCCTCCAAGACTAGGTTAGCTAGAAAGCATAATCACTTTCTCTGTTAATTGTGCTGCTTCTCCAGACACCTGCTGCACACAAATCTCCTTTTCCTCTCCATGCACAAAACACTGTTTGTTAGTGTTGCTTAATTATGCCTTTGTGAAACAGATGTTGCTGATTGTTTCACAGGTAGGTTAGAATGCTCAGCAGTTAATCTGTGCTAATAACAACAAACATTTTAACAGCTTAGCTAAGTCTGGCCTACACCTAAGAGGCTTGTGGGTGTGTGTATGTGTGTTAAAAGTCCTTATTGGAAAAAGTCAGTTCATTTGGTGATCTCTTTTCCTTGTATATTCTCTCGTGGTCTATTTTAGGACCATATATATATATATATATATATATATATATATTTACATTGTTATGGCAGGTAAGC